AGAAGAGTGATGGTGAGTGGGTGAATAGGATGAGGATGTATTAAAAGCACCCTTTAACAAACCACATCGCTTCCTTTGAAATACCTGGGACAGATTAGGCAGGGTCCACGTGTGAAAGATATGGTCAAAGAAACAACAGCAATTCAGGAAGGTGCAGAGTTTTAATTGGGTCCTCAAGCTGCGCAAAAAATTCCCAAGAGACGCACTGTGAAAGCATGCCCAGTATCTGCTTAACCTGGCCCCTTTTCCCTGACCGTGGTACCCTCTCAGTGTTTTGCCTGGACTGATCTAAAGCAGTTTCTAGTCTTAAAACCCATTATGTGCAGGCAAGCAGGGTGAGGGGAGCTCCCCGGTACCTGCAAACGCATCCCAAGCACTCTCTGCATCCCTCAGAGATCCTTCCTGCTTTCAGAGACATTCGGGTTCTCGGACCGGGGAAGTCCACTGCAGAGTGTAGGTAACGCTGTGATTTTATCAGAAGCAAAAGAAAAGAAAACGTTAGCTTAACGAACACAGGAATGGCTCCTTTATCAAGGCTCTAGCAAAGTAAATGGCCAGAAAGCAGCCTACATGGTGCCACCTATCTTATTCTCAGTCAGCTGGCTTACTGCACCAATACGGACCATCTACTCACTGAAGGGGCTTTAACAGGTAGTTAGTAGTGTGAAACAGAGACCAGCCTTTCACTCACCTGTGTGATATTGTTTTTTTAAAAAAATAATAAATTAAATCAAATCTCTGGGCGCAGTCTTCAGACCTCAGAGCATGAAGCTCAAGCACCCCAGGCGAACGAGCACCAACATCGAGGGAGGCTGGCCCCGTCCGCCCCTTAATTACTGCATCCTCATCACCCTTGCCCCGTGCAATAGTGCAAGTGGCAGTCTGGCCGTACAGCAGATCTACCAGTTCACATGGTACCCACTCTTCTCCCAGCTCCTAGTGCAGAACGAGGGGAAGAGGGACAAGGAGGGGTACAGAAGTCTCCGATTTTCTACAGGGGAGCGGGGATGTGGCAGCCAGGACTTGCGTTCAGGTCTTAGCTCTGCCTTTGGCTCAAGTTGCCGCTGAGAAAACTGCTTCCCCTCTTTATCAACACCCAAATCCGTGAGCCTCAAGAGCTGGCATTTCAGTTTTGTCTTACCCTCCTTAGAAATGCAGTGCTCGACTGCACCAGCCATCCTTACACCACAGGGGTCAGGGAGGACCCTCTCCTCCTTCCCTCGCTCAGATACGATGTATTCTGTCATTTATCACGGCCTCTAAGTGCTTCAGCTCAGAACAAATCTTTTCCCTCCGCAGGCAGCACTTCCCGTTTTTTCAAACAGCCCCAGAGGGCTGGAAAAACACGATCCGACACAACCTGTGCTTCAGCAGCTGCTTTGAGAAAACCACCAGCTTCGTGTGCCACAAGGGAAACCGCAAGTCCTGCCTGCGGAAACTGACTCCAGAAGGACGCAGAAAGTTTCAGGAGGAAGCACAGGCCCTGCCCAAAGAGGCTCTTGTGCGCCAAAGCATGAGCAAACCGGGTACGTTTCAGAGGGCAGGGGCCCCGCAAAATGCGGAGCGAGTCAGACTTTACAAGATTCCTGTAGCGGGAGGGATACAGGCGGGCACCCAAGCCAGGATGGTGCACCAGTCACCAGCACTGCAGGACACTAGGTCTAGGAGATAACACCAGACACTCAGAGATCGCTGTAGAGATACCCCCACAGGCAGGGCTTGGTCACCAGGCCGGCCAAGAGCCCTTCTTTAATGGAACCAGCATAGCGAGACAAACCAACCAGGCTACGTTAAAACGCAGAGCCTTCATCTCAGTATCACGTCGCTCAGCAGTACAATACCTCTCAGTTTAACACGGATAAGGACCAAGGCTGTAGCATCGGTGCCCAAGCAGTCATTACGGTCCAAGTGACTGTCGCAACTTCCTATCTGTCTTTTGCAGATCTCATGAGATCTCTGTTTGGTCTGTGATTCCCTCTGGCTCCCTGCTCCTGAAGCACATACCATATGTTTTTAAACCAAGCTTATTTTCTCAGGTGCTGCTGCAAGCAGCTTCCCAAGAACTGCGTGTGGAAATTATGAGCATTGTGACGCAAGGACTCAAATTTAGAAGGGGGCGGGGGGG